AAATTAGCCATCTTCTATTGTCCAGTAAAAAGTGCCAGTTCAGAAAGGTGCAGCAAGTTGTACTACCCCAACCCCTTCTTTTTGCTGCCATCTACTGACAGGTTAATGGACGACATCTCTCTCTCTCTCTCTCTCTCTCTCTCTCTCTCTCTCTCTCTCTCTCTCTCTCTCTCTCTCTCTCTTTGTGGTTTTTACGAAACAGGGTTTCTCTGTATTGTTTTGGAGGCATATACTGGTATGTAGAGGACATGAGGTCCTTGTGCTCAACGACAAGCACCGGGACACCAGGAATGTTAAACACACAGGGTTGTCTCTTCAATGGAAGAGAGTCTTTTTCTACCCAGAAGGCTGGGACTGGATGTTGTTAATAGCCTGATTACCAGCAGTATCTGCAGGGCCAGACCGTACCCGAATCTCCCAGACAATTATGTTTATCCCAGACTCTTCCTCCCTAGATCTTTATCTTGAGCATTGCTTCCCAGTCAATAGAGCCCACCCTTATGGGAGATGTCACATGTACTTTATAGCTTGGTGACCTGTATGCTAAACTGTACAACCGAGACCACACCAGAGTCTCTCCTAGGCCCTTTAGGTTATAGAATCCAGCCTTATGAAAGAGATCACATGTACTTTTCAATGTCACCATGCCTTAAGCTTTATTGCGCACACAGGATTGAGATCATTGTTACCAGGAAACTTTTTTCCAAAATTATACTGTACTTAAATATGCCTAAACAAACTGCCTGTTGTCAGACTCTAGAAGCTTGAAACAACATCATCTACTGAGCCATGTTGAACCAGATTTCCTTCTCGCCTCACACAGATCATTGTCCTACTGGCTATAGCATTTGCAGAGATCCTCCGTTTTAGACAGGGTTTCTAGAGCTGCGAAGAGACACCATGACCACGACAACTCTTATAGAAGAAAACATTTAATTGAGGTGGTAGCTTACAGTTTCAGAGGTTCAGTCCATTATCATCATGGTAGGAAGCATGGTAGCAAGCAGGCAGACATGATGCTGGATGTGTAGCTGAGAGTCCTTCCTCCATCAACAGGAAATCAACTGAGACTCTGAGTGATATCCTGAGCATAGAAAAACCTCAAAACCTGCCCTCACAATGAGACACTTCCTCCAATAAGGCCATACCCACTCCAACAAAGCCATAGCTCCTAATAATGCCAAATCCTATGAGATTATGGAGGTCTGACTAAATCAAACTATCACTCCCCCTCTGACATTATTGTATAATAAGTTGTCACAAAATTTAGTAGCTTAAACTAACAGATATTTATTACTTTATATAGTTTCTGTAGACTTGAAATTTTTTTTTCCAAACAGGGTTTCACTATGTAGCTTTGGAGTCTATCCTGGCACTCACTCTGTAGACCAGGCTGGCCTCGAACTCACAGAGATCTGTCTGCCTCTGCCTCCCCAGTGCTGGGTTTAAAGGCATGTGCCACCAACGCCCAGCTAGAAATTTTTTTAACAAAAAGATACAATCAAGATTATGAAGCGGTTAGTTAAGAGCACTTGCTGCTCTTCCAGAGTGGCCAGGTTCCATTCACAACATCCACAACCACCTGTATGTCCAGTTCCATGGAATCTGACACTCTTTTCTGGCCTCCACAGGTACCAGGCACTTACACATACATACATACATACATACATACATACATAGCATACATGCATGCATACAGACAAATATACATAAAATATAAACAATTTTTAAAGTTGTAATCAATGGCCTGTACATCCTAGGCCCAGCTACTCTGGAGGCTAAGGCAGTATGAGAACTTGAGTCCACAGGTTTGAGAATAGCTGGGTAACATAATAAGAAAAAAGAAAAAAGCAAGAAAACTTGTAAATAGTATCCTAGGTGGTTCTGCGCTCAGGCTTACAGGTTGTGAGCAAGGCTATAGTTAGCTGAAGGCCTAGCTATGGCTAAAGGAGTGTAAGCTACCTAACAACTGGGCAGCTTAGTGCTGGTCGTGGGTGCAAGGATTGCTTCAGTTCCTGTCAAATGGGCTTTTCCACAAGGACTCCTCTAGTGACCTCCTGGCATGGTGGCTGGCTGGCTTCCCTCGGAGCCAGTGACAGAAAGTGGAGACTACAATGCAACACGCTAACATTTGCACAACATACTATTAGTCACACATATCAATCTTGTTTAGGAGGTGAAGGGAGACCTTGAGAGCAATATGGCAGTCAGCTCCTTTTGGTTGTACAACATTTTCACAACACTTCCCTCCCCTTGTTTCTGAGATAGGGTCTCCCTAGGCAATCCTGGCTGACCTTTAGAAGTTGCAAAGACTCTCCAGGAGAAGAGGGCTTTGGGGATTACTGTCACAAAATAACAGTCGAAACAATTGGTCATGAGTTAAGTTTATCTTTCTGCTGATCATGCTTCCTGAAACCCTGAGACACTGAACTTGTCAGGAAATCACAAACACTCTGGAAGAACTTTCTCCCACTCCTTACACAAGAGTCTTTCAGAATGTCTGTTATTTTAATTGCACATATGTAGACAGTGTGGTGTAATAAATAATAAGATGTATGCATTCACCTGTCATGATCAGGGCAGTAAGCATTTTCATCTACTTAAGCCTTTTTTTTTCTATTTGGGAATTAAAGAACTTCCTGTGCCCTAGTTCCTGTATTGACTAACCAGGCAACAGGACCAAAAAGAAAAGTTCTGGTAAGTGTAGATCTCATTTATCTCTTCAGTGAACTGAAAACACAATGGCCTTTTAACTGAATTTGCTAAAGGTTGCAAGCTTGAAGCCGGGCGTTGGTGGCGCACACCTTTAATCCCAGCACTTGGGAGGCAGAGGCAGGCGGATCTCTGTGAGTTCGAGGCCAGCCTGGTCTACAAGAGCTAGTTCCAGGACAGCCTCCAAAGCCACAGAGAAACCTTGTCTCGAAAAACCAAAAAAAAAAAAAAAAAAAGGTTGCAAGCTTGAATAAGATTATAGAAGACTACCAACATGCTTTATATCTTAATTAAAGCACTCAACAGAGCTGGGTGTGGTGGCACAGGCCTGTAAATGCCAGCATTCAAGAAGTTGAGACAGGAGGATTCCAATCTGCAGCCTGGGATACATGGTATTTTTAAGGCTAGCCTGTACATATCAAAACCTTGTCGGAAAGGGGAAAAAAAATCACCAAGAGCTGGTCCCAGAGGAATTCCTTTCTCTAGGACACAGATAGTATGCCAAAGAATCTGAACCTTAGCATCTAGTAGTTTTTGGGCTTTAGTTCAGTTCTTTGTTGGATACCATGTAGTAACATCTGAGTCCCATAACCAAACCACACACAGACGTAAGGTGAGGATAGCCAGCACCTCGCCTGTGAAAACACTCAACAATTTCTTGCTGAGCTCTAAATAAATCCTTGGTATTGAACTTACTGTTTCAGTCATGGACTCTGTACAACAAAATTGTACATCATTAACATTATCAAACATCAATTATTATTTTAGAAATAAGATTTTATATTGTCAAGACTGGCCACAAACTTACTTAGGTAGCTAAGGACAACCTTGAACAGACGATCCTTGTCCACTGAATTCCCCAGCGCTGGGTTAAAGAAGTGTTAGGTGCTAGTTATCAAATTCAGGGCAAGTACATCCCCAACATCACAATTATTAAGAGCACAAATTCAACTTGTGGAAAGTGATTAATGACCACGTGACACATGTTAAACAACGTTTACATCTTAATATAAACATCTGGACTTAGTGTGCTGCCACGCGGCATCAGGTAATTCCCCAGTAACGTCTTGGTGTGACTTTTGCTTGCTTATTTGCTTTGGGACGGTCTCTCTGTGTAGTCCTGACAGTGTCCTGGAGCTCGCAGTGTAGACCAGGGTTGCTCCATCAGTCTCTGTCTTCTAGAGTCCTGGGATTAAAGGCGTGCATCCCAACATCCCCCACGACACTCACTTTCAGAATGTAGATTTTGTACAGTAGTAAACACTTGTACCAGCTCAGTGCTTTCCTTGTTTATAATTATTGAGACCGTAAACAACAAAAATATTTCTGGGATTGAAAGACCCCGGCCCAGTATACACAGACAGCTGAGGCTTATGGAAAATTCCGTTTCCCCCACAGCTCAGCTGAATAGTCATTTTTTATCAGAAGGGAGCTCAGCTCAAGGTCCTAATGGCTGAATAGTCACTACTATCAGAAGGGAACTCTGCTCAGGGACACAGGTGTCTGCTGTCTGCATAGCCACACAGAAACCTATTGTTCCTCAGATAGGGCCAAGGCCGAGACTTGAGTTCCAAGCAAAACCTCAATTGCCCTCGTTCTGAGCCCCAGCCTCATTTAAATTGCCCAATCAGGGTCCTGTAACTAGGCTTCTCGCTTCTGTACTACGCTTTTTGCTATAAAAGAACCCCCGAGTCCCCAGCTCGGGGCTATCAGCCCCCCCAGACTGAGACGCCCGGGTACCCGTGTGTAAATAAAGCCTCTTGCTGTTGCATCCAAGCTCGTGGTCTTGTTGTTCCTTGGGTTCGGGGTCTCCCTCCCGTGAAAGTCCCCCGCCTGGGGTCTTTCAGGATGGTTGTGGAAACCCGAGAGTGAGCTCAACTTCCTTTCTGAGGCTCTGCTGAAGTAAATTAGCACCAGGTTTTATTATTTTATTTTATTATTTTCCGTTTTTCGAGACAGGGTTTCTCTGTGGCTTTGGAACTCATTATGTAAACGAGGCTGGAGCACCAGGTTTTAAACCTTGCAGTCTCCGACAATCCTAGAGGATTAAAAAGCCAACCTAGGTGCTAGGGACCCGGCTCCATCCTCGCCAATCAGCGTTGGGCTCCGTCCCCCCCACTTCCCCGCAGTACGGCCTGCATCTCCCGTGAGCCTCCCCGGCTGCCACTCTTCAGAAGGGAAACCTTTTCCCGCCGAGGAAGCCGTTAAACGGCGAATCGTCTGGAGGAGCGTCCGTGGCGTCCAGACTATAGGCGGGACTTCCGCTCCCTCGGGCTCTGTCCGTCAGGAGGCGGAAGCTGGTGCCGGCGGGAAGGTTGTAGTGCGGCGCCGCGTCCTTGCGCTTTTGCTGGGCTCTGCGTGGGCGCGCCCCCCTGCACAGCCGCGCCGGGATAGCGAGGTTTCTCCGGGGCTCCTCGCAGCCGGGTGAGTACAGCGGACTGGTGACGCCAGGAGGAGTGTGGCCCGAGCGCCGGCCGCGGCACAGCGGCCTCGTGCGGACGAAGGGTTCTCTGTTCCCGTTTTGGTTTCGCCCACCTCGCCCGCGGGCACGGACTTCCCGGGACTCCTCGTCCCCTTTCTTTCGGGGTGGTCCCGGTTGCCTTCGCTGTGAGCCCGGCTTCGCGCACCTTGTGTTCCAGCCGTAGGAGACGCGATTCGTTTACACCCGGCATCTGCCTTGGAGCCCGTGTCTTTCCCCCGACCATTAGTCCTCTACTTCCGCCACCCTGTTCGCGCCTTGTTTTTGTGACCGGGTCTAGCCAACCCGGGTTGGCCTGGCGCTCGCGGCTCTTCTGCCTCATCCTCCCGAGTGCTGCGGATGACCGCTGCGTGCCTCCCGTTTTTAAAGAGTGCCTCTGTGAAATTGGTCTCACCCCCGGTGTGATTATTCAGATTGCAAACACAAGGGGCCGAGCTTATCTTGTGATTTGGTACGGCCCAATACAAAACTTAGTTTCTGAACTTAGAAATCAGCAGGCTCGGGGCTGGGGAGGTGGCCCAGCTGGTTAAGAGCACTTGGCTGCCCAAGCATTAGGAGCAGTGTTGGAATCTCCAGCATCCACCTCCGAAGCCGGTGCGGCTGTATGTAGCACCTGGACCCCAGAGTTGAGAGAAGGCAGAGAGACTGGAGGATCGGTGTGGATTGCTGGCCGCCAGCCTAGCTCCAGGCTCACTGAGAGACCCTGTTTGAAGGGAACAAGGTGGAGAGTGATAGAGCAAGCATCACATGCTCGACACTGGGTATACACTACACACACACACACACACACACACGCGCGCGCGCGCGCGCGCGCAGAATTCAAGTTTGCTTACTAGCTTTGTGACAGATGACTTCCACGTGTATAAAGATGCTCATTAAAAACATTTCTTTTGGAAACTTCTTACACAGTGTGTGATGCAGAGTAGGGTCTTTTTCTTTTACCAGCACAGCAAATGCTGGGATATGTTTTTAAATGAACGGAGAGGGATTTTTTTTTATTATAGAGTTTTAGTTTTCTCCCTAGCACTGATCACATGGATGCTTTCAAAAGGTTGATATATTTGGTAAATACATCTTAATGATGAACATTAAAGTAGTGCTAAATGTTGGTGTTAACAGCTTCAAGACTAAAAAAAAAGTGCTCATTAAATAAAGTGCATGAGGAAATTGCAGAGTTAAATTTCTGATTTAAGTGCTTTCTACGGGTATCTTTCTGAGGAGACTTAAGAAACCGAGCTCAGCCCAGCTGTTTTTGACACTGTAATTTAAGGCCAGTGCATTTTATGTGTGCACATAAATTTTTTTACAGATGATTGTAAAGTGCTGATCAGTGGCCACTGAATATAATTGAAACAGAATAGGAAGATGGCAGCAAATCCTTCAGGACAAGGTAATGCATGCTGGGATTTCTGTTATTCATAGGAACTTTTCCCTAATAAAATAAATGTATTTGAATTAGAGAAAATTTAGTATAAAACAGTCACTACATCCAGAATTAAAGAATAAGTAGCAAAGTAGGAACTCCCAATTTAAAATCAGTTTAACACCATGTCAGCTACACATTTTTTAATAGTACTAATTCTGTACCTTAACCTGTTACAATACATTTATTTTTGTACGATGTGCATCAGTATATATGCATGTTTGCATGTATGGGTGCATGTGTGTGGGGGTGGGCATTTGTGCATGTGGAGACAGGAGGTTGACATCAAGAATCATCGTTCATCACTCTTCACCTAATTCGTTGAGGCAGGGTCTCTCAGTCAAATCCAGAGCTTGCTGATACGGCTTTCTCTCGATAACCAGCTTGCTTTAGGGATCTCTTCTTTCCGCCTTTTGAGGCTGGAACTACAGGTGGGCCATTATGCCCACTCAACATTTATGTGGGTTCTATGGATCTGAACACTGGTCCTCACGGTTTTGGGAACAAGTGCTTAACCACTGAATCATCTCTCCAGCCCACATCATATACTTTATCCTCTGACATCTGTTTTCTTGTTCTTTTATTTGAAATAAGCATTATTTTTGAAACTGTCTTCAGATAATAACCATGCCTTTATCTTCATTGTTGTAAAAAACTTCAGTCATTTCATCTGTTACTCTTTAATCAAATCAAGTTAAGTACATATTGCAATTAAGGAATTTTTATTTTTAAATGTTTTGTTGAAGTTAAAAAATTTTTTTGTTTTGTTTTTCAAGACAGGGTTTCTCTGTATTGTTTTGGAGGCTGTCCTGGAACTCGCTCTGTAGACCAGGCTGGCCTCGAACTCACAGAAATCTGCCTGCCTCTGCCTCCGCCTCTCAAGTACTAGAATTAAAGGCACGCGCCACCAATGCCCGTAAGAATTATTTTATTCAATCTTTTTTTTTAAGCTCTTTGAGGGCTATGTGTTGAACTTCAGCCCCCGAGTTGCTAGGATTTATGAGTATATGCCAGAATCAGCTTAAAAGTAGATTTTTATTTTTATTTTATTTATTTTTTTGAGGCAAGGTCTTGCTATGTAGTCTTGGCAGCCTGGAACTTACAATGTTAGACCAGGCTGGCCTTGATTTGTAGACCAGTATGGCTTCAAACTCTGAGGGACTCCCTGCCTATGCCTCCTGAGTGCTGGAATTATTGTAAAAGTATTTTATGCATAAAAATTGAAATGGATCTCTCGCCATATCAAGTCTGCACTGTTTGAATTTTAGGTATGTTTGGCCCATCATCACAGGTAAACATTGTATTTATCTTTAACTTCTTTTAAAATTAAGTTAGAAAGGTTCAAATTAAAGTAGTTTGTATTCAATCCTCAGTTCTCCTCAACGCCTGCCAAAACTGAGCCAAAATAAAAACTAAGAGCAGTCCATTTAGGAAAGAGAAAAAAATGCTAAAAACCACACAATGTAGTCACAATGAAAACATCTTAAATCATCCTGTTCTAATAACAAATTTTGCTGGTAACTTTTCTCTAAACAAGTGTTGCTTTTGATTGGCCCATAATCAGATCTACTATGAAGCATCCAAAATCTAAAGAGTAATTAGTTGGATCAACCATTTGACTTTCATTACTCCATTCTTTTAGTGTCGTGGAGCTGCTGCTGCTGGATACCAGCAGAGGGAGTTCATATCATGTTTTATAGACTTAAAGATTCTCAGTAAAACACTTTAAAGACATTAACATTTATTGATGCTTATTTATTCTGAGATGGGATCTCACTATGTAGACCTGTCTGGCCTGGAACTCTTATTGTATGTGTTTGAATGTTTTGCCTGCATGTATGTCTGTGCACCACATGCACGCAGTGTCCTTAGAGGCAAGAAGAGGATGTCAGCTCCCCTGAAGCTGAAGTTACAGATTTTGAGCATGTGGGTGCTGGAAAGGAAACCCATGTCTTCTGAGAGAGCAGCCAGCGCTCTTATTTGCTGAGCCATCTCTGCAGCTCCTTAGTAAAAAGTTCAAGTCTTTTATTGTATTTTACTGTCTACAATAAATTACTGCTGCATTGTTTATGGGTTTAGAGATTAGATGGAGGCTGATTGTCAAGTGCCTCGGTTACTCTAAAATGATACCAAAAGAAACCTGATTTATAAAAACAAAATCTCAATATATGCATTGTAATTCATTAGTGTCTCTAGTACAGGGATCAAACATTCATTGTGTTCTTGACCATTGGCTGGCTTGAGTTGAAAGCCCAGAAGATGAGTTAAGCACACTGGGTGCATTTGTGAGGGTATTAGAGGCATTTAAATAAAAAAGGAGCCAACCTAATCAATGGTTTAATCTCTTGATGGATTCAGGGTTTTAAAAGGCTGCTAGGAGCTAAAAGGATGGGATACAATTGGAGGGAAAAGGTTATGGAGGGAGAGGGGGACTTTGAATGCGTTGGTACTGTTGCAGCTACTGTCTAGCTGCCATGAGGTAAACAGCCTCTGCCATCCAAAGCAATGGATCCAGCCAGCTGTGCACTTGTGAAACAGTGACCCAAAATAAGTAATTTGTTTGTTTGTTTTGTTTTCTCAGATTTAAGTATTTTCCTTCTTTAAAAAAAGTTTTAAAATTTAGGGATTAGAGAGATGGCTCAGTGGTTAAGAGTGGTGGCTGCTCTTTCAAAAGACCTGGCTCAGTTCCTAGCACCAGTGTGGCAGCTCTTAATCATCTGTAATTCTAACTTCAGGGGATTTGATGCCCTCATATGGCTTCCTTAGGCACTAGGCACACATGTAGAACATAGATATGCATGCAGGCAAAACCCCTATACATGTAATATTTTTTTGAAAGTTTGTGTATGCCTATTTGTGTTAGGCATACAACTTGTAAAAATTGGTTCTCTCCTTCCACTGTATGTTATCAGGCTTGTCAGTGAGCACCTTAAACTAGCTAGCCCTTCTTAATGTTTTAAGATAGCCAAAAAAAGGGGTGTGGGGGTGTCGGGAACCTAATGCTCTTTCAAATCTATCTAGCAGTTTCCTATAGTAGAGTTGTAATCAGAATTTCTAAATTTGTTAAGCTTTTAGCAATCACTGAAGTTGTAGTTTTCATTATCCTGTGTCATGTGGAACATTTGGTAGGTTCTCAATAATTACTTGATTCATAAGTTGATTAAGTTGTGACATCTTATGAATTTTGCCTTTTGGGGGAGAAATTTGATATGTAGAGGCAGACCAAACTAAAATTTGGCTAAGGTACTATTTCTGTATCTTTTTGTTTTGTTTTCAGATTGTATGTATGCAGTGTGTGTGTGTGTGTGTGTGTGTGTGTGTGTGTGTGTGCGTGTGTGCGTGTGCGTGTGTGTGTGTGTGTAGGAGTGTGTGCCCTAGTGTAGGCACACATGTAGAGGTTAGAAGACAACCTCATAGAATCGATTTTCTTCTTCCACCTTTATGTGGGCCCCAATATCGAACACAGGTTGCCAGGCCTGTGTGTACGACAAGCACCTTTCCCTATTGAAGCATATAGCCTGCCTTCTTATTTTTGTGCCTTGAATGGTGTCTCAGTTCTTTCTTATTGATAAATGTGGCAGTCAGAAAGAGCCTGGAATGGAAACTGATTTCATAGTTTCATAGGTTGATAACTGGAAAACCTAGAGATCAGACTTGGAGTCTCTCTTGATGTTCTTCCTGCACTTAGGGTCCTTGGGAATGGATTGGCATAGCTCCTGGGAGTGGTCCTGTTTGGTCCCTACTTAATTCTGAGATCTAGCAAGCCCATCTTTCAGGCTTGTATTTTAAAGTGTGCTGCCTCTCGAGCATCATTGTTTTGTTTGAATGATTCATGAAAATTATTGTATTGTATTTGTATCATTCAAAGAGTGTAGATGCATCTGGGAAGTGGCGGCACATGCCTTTAATCCCAGCCTCAAGTTTGAGTCCACAGCCTGGTCTACAGAGTGAGTTCCAGGACAGCCAGGGCGATACAGAGACAGGCTACAGATACACATTTTAGAGTAGATCTTTAAAACCTAGATTCCTTTTTTTTTTTTCATTTTTAATTGCTAAAGCAAATACATATTAGGGTTCAAACTGTAGACCTCAGGTTAAAATTGGGAATGAAACTGGTCAAAGCAAAATATATTGTAACAAGAACATCTGTATAGTTAGCTTGGGTCCCTTAGTTCCAATGAGACTGGCTTGGGAGGTCTTTAATGTGAATATAACTTAGAAAGCAGATGCTAGTCACTGTACCCTGAATAATGTAACACTGTTTACTGAAGGAATTGTAAGAATGGTATTAACAGGAGTCTGTTGATGTTAACAAGTAGGGAAAAAAGAATGCTGGATGATGATGATGAGTCATAGTAACTACTGTATGACAGGCAGTTTGGTAGGTTTTACTTAGGTCTGTATTTCCCATAAGTACTCTTCATAACTACTCTTTGAAGTTGTTAACTGTTATCCCTATTGGTCCTAAGGCATGGTGAGGCAATTTTCTCGATAGTAAATGATATGTAGTCTACTGGTATGAGAACCTGATTAGATTCCATGTCTCAGTTTCGTATTCATTTAGTTCCCATACTGCTTGTATTAGTTAAGTTTTCTAGAGGAACAGAACCAAAAGGGGACACACACACACACACACACACACACACACACACACACACACACAGCTATAAAGAGGGGTTACTATATCCTTAGACTGGGGTGAATATATGTAATGGATGCGCACACACACAAACACACACACAAAATGTTAAGCCAATAAATAGAAAAATGTTAAACTGATATTGCCAGAAACTTTCCTTTAATACTAAGTGTGCATGTCATAAGTATTATACTTTGATTTACTGTATAGTTGTGAAGAGTATGCAGCTTGCAGGCTAGCCACTTGAAAGTTTTGACATTATTTTAAGGTATCTTTCAAAAGTTTTGTTTTTAAAGAAGTATAATAACTGTAATTGAAAGGTATATTA